GGGGACGCTCAGCCCCGCGCCTCTCTTCAGCCCGGGCGCGTACGAGCGCCTGGCGCTGCTGCTCGGCTCCATCGGGCTGCTGGGCGTCGGCAACAACCTGCTGGTGCTCGTCCTCTACTACAAGTTCCAGCGGCTCCGCACTCCCACCCACCTCTTGCTGGTCAACATCAGCCTCAGTGACCTGCTGGTTTCCCTCTTCGGGGTCACCTTTACCTTCGTGTCCTGCCTGAGGAACGGCTGGGTCTGGGACACCGTGGGCTGCGTGTGGGACGGGTTTAGCAGCAGCCTCTTCGGTGAGTTGGGCTGGGAGGAGAAAGCATTCTCCCCTCTGCCAACTTCCATTCCCTGCATTGCCACCATCTCTGTGCGTCCCCTTGCCACCCAGTCCACTCTCAGCTCCTCATCTCCAACCCGCTCTGCAGCTCAGCGCCCGCACCAGTCTCGCCTCCTCTCGTCAACCCCAAGCTGCATGGCTTTCCTTCCTCTTTGCTTCACCTCCTCTCGCCCCACGGCGGCCTCGGCGCTGTCCCTGTGGCCACTTCTCTCCCCGCAGCCGGCCCTAAACCCCAGCCCGGCTTTGGCCCCAGTTCCTCCCTGACTCCCTCCATCCGCTGTCCAGTTCGTCTCATTTCTGTTTTCACCCCCTAATACAATTCAACAGGGCACGAAACAGCGGCTTTACACTTTAAGGAAAGAAACGAGGGGCTGTAGAGTCAACAGATTCAAGAAAACGAGTAACTAACTCATGAAGGCTGGAGAGGGTGATGAGAAGAGATTTAATTCAATACTCTTGGTAGCAGAGTGGCAGTGTGTGTAATTTTTTTCTTTAATTTTGCTTATTAGCAGATGTAAACCTTTGAATGCTTCCTAGGAAGTGAAAGAGCTTCATTCGGGTCGTCAGAAATGCAAATCGGCATGTGGCCTTATAAGCTATTTCTACTGTATTTTCCTCCTTAGTCGTTCCAGCACACCGAAATCTGAGGTGAGATTACAGCTGGCTCAGAGAATCCCACCCTAGATGGACAAATAACTGGCTGTGCAGCCAGTAGATTTCATTAAAGTAGAATTTGATTGTTAATTGAACATTTATTTCAACAATACTCCTAATCCTGTGGACGATTCAAGTCTCACTAAGACTTGACATTTTGAAGGATGATCATTTTGAAGGATGTATCATTGAAGATGTGATTTTCTAAGCTTGGGAATTATCTTTCTGTGTGTGCTCCAGGAATTTCATTGACACAAGATGTGAAATAGGAATGTGTATTTCTCAGGTCTTAAAGTTCCTTGAAAAAAAAAAAAAGAAATATATTGATAATTTATTACTGCTTTTATCTTGGCAGGTTTTTAAGAACAAAATCTTTGTAGCATTATCAGAAAATTGTCTTATTCCCCCAACGTCCTATGTTGTGGCAAACCCAAATATTATGATACTTGTTATAATTAACTTTTTGGTGTTTTGAAGGAAACAAAATTGTCATAGAAATCATGATTTCATTTATTTGATTGACTCAATGATTCCAATAGTCTAATACTACTTTCGCCCCGTCAATAAGCAATCTGAGAGTTTTATTTATACAAAGATTTGAAACTTGGGAGGGGGCCTTAAGTGTATGTAGGTGGTGATATAGATGGCTATGTGCTTATACACGTTATATTAATTTAAAATACCTGTCAGGAAGTTTTTTGGGCAGGGCTAAGCTTTCATTTAAGGAGGATGATTGAAGTTTAAACCCAAAGTGTCATCAGTAATGCTCCCTGGGCTGGGCAACAGGTGTTTGATCACAGACATGAAAGTTCGTATTTCCAAGAAGTGCTTTTTCTGTGCTGGACAGTTCTGTTTCTATTTGGACTCTGGGCCTGGGGGTTTAAAAACAAGGGTATGTTGAGTTCTTTATTAGTACCAGCATTCACCCCCTTCCTCATCTCTTGCCTCTGTGACCTCATTCTGCTGCTGCGTCTCCTTCCATTGCTTTTTCCTCCTTCAGTTCTTCCTGCTCAGGTCCGACCCTAGTCAGAAGGGATTTTCTAAGACTTCTAGAAACGTTCACCACACACGCTGTTTCTCCTGAAGACTGCTCTGTTGCTCTGGGCATATAGTTACTGCTTTCAACCATGATTTTATCCCTGTTTTTAAATTAGAGGTGGAAACTCCGGAGTAAGAGATTCAAAGACTTTGTTTAAGCCCTGGGAGACAAGTCAGTAGTGGGGTTATGATGGACTGAAAAAGTTCTTAGCCAAGATTAAGAATTTCTTTGCTTGAAGTAAATTCCAAGGATTGTGCTTCTAGATAAGGGTTAAAGTCAATGGAAGGGAGGGTGCTTCCCTGAACAAGAACTAACCATGGAGTGTTGAAGGGGGAGGACATTTAAAAATGCCAGAAGTGGCTGCTTGTTCTAGGGGTTCCTGGAGAGGCTGTCCTATCAAGTGGAAAGCCCAATGGCCTCCTGACACAAGAGTGGGTTCTACTCTGTTGCCTGGCTAACCTTTTGTGTGGACTTTCCCAGGCACTTAATCCCGCCTGCAGTCAATTTTGTTACCTCTTATGGGGGAGTGAGCTAAATGTTCTTTAAGGTTGTTCTGTCCTATGTGCTTGGTATTTTGAGGACTCTTTTGATATCTGTGGGTTAGAAGGTGCCTGGTTTTAGCACTATGGCTTGTATCCTCTGTTCTATCTCCTGAGCCAAGAATAAGCGCATGCTGGGTTACGCTTCTTCATATACCTTCCTGGGTTCTATCTTCCTCCGCACACCCTGTAAGAAGAAGGCAGGATTAAGTAATGCAGACATACTTACATACATGTATGAGTAGGCAACGCAACTGCCTCATCGGTGCTCATTTCCTGGTTTTTCAGGAAATGCTGAAAACAAGTAGAATCTCTGATATTCTTGAGGCAGAGGCTTTGACTAGACAGGACTGTCAAGATTGCCATTTCACTTAAACTGACTGGTTGGTTTGTTCAGTGAACTAGTCAATTTAATCCAACTTTCGGTTGAATGGCTTATTTTACAAATGTCCAAGCTAATTGGTCATCTTAGCCCTAGGCAGGCCCAGTTAGTACTGATGTCAATTTCAATAAGTGTAATGATAGAGAAAATTAATGCTCCAAGAACTCTTCCTCAAACTGCACAATGACAACTGATAGAAAGGCCCCCTTCACGTGGTGTGTATAGTGCCTTAGCCTAAAGACTTCCAGGTGAGTATGCCTTTTACCCCCTTGGCTGTTGCACCTCTAGCCACACCCAGCGCCACACAAAGGTTCTGTGTATGGCATATAACCAGTATTATGCCAGAAGTTAATGGGAGGGCCTTTCTTCACTGCTACCTCCTACCCTTCAAAAACAGCAAACAACATGTTAATCTTAGCAGAGGATGATGATTAGATGGGGCTTTATCTTGGGATACAGAGATTCAGTGTCATAGAGCCAGAGTCTGGCAAAATGCAAGTCACTCTATGTTCACTTGGATTTTAGAAGCAGGTATTATTTATGTTAAGATATTTTAACTTACAAAGATAGGAATTTTCTTTTTTAACTTATACCTAAAAAAACACATGTACTTATGTACATTCATATAAAGATTCGTTAAAAATGCATGTTCCCTTCAGTAGACCTTTTTTTGCACCTAAATATCTCAAAATGCTAGTTGTTTTACTGAAATAATCCTTTTGCAATAATCTGGCTGGTTAATTCAGTTGAAATAGTCTCACGATGCTACCACGAGATCCTACGGGTGCTTGTGGCATGGAAATGCCTTCATTCGGCTGTTCTAAAATCACCCACAGGCTAAATTGGCCACAGAAATATTCCTCTTCATGACAATGGGCACATACTATGTAGTCTGTTTCCATAAACATGGTGGAACCACACATTTTTTACAGTCTAAGCTCACAGTTCTGTATAGTTTTATTCAAATATTAATTTTATTAAAAGCAAAAGTTACAGAATTGTATTATGAAAATTCTTTGTTTTTATGGGACATCATGATGTCCCTTCCTCATTATTGTGTGGTTTTGGGGGGTAAATCTCTATTGTTCATTTTTGAGAAATTAGAAAATATGTAAGAAAGCATTTAATGATTTGCTTTCCTAGGGGCTTATGTCCTGATAACAAGTCAGACTCCAGTGGAATAATTGTAATTGCTGTTGCATGAAATTACTTTTCTCTTAATATTGTTTACAGTTGTATTCTTTCTTGAATTTTCTTCTTTCAGAGAAGAGTTCCGGTCACAAATGCATGTGTGATGCATTTTGACATTTACTGCTAAGATGAAATGCAGGAATGAAAACCACACATCCGTTTTAGTGTTCTCAGATGTGATTAGATATACTTTATCATATTTTTATGCTACTGACCTATAAGGAAAACAATATTAAGAAAGGGTAACTGTAAACAGCTAGTTCCTGCAACCTCAGTACTTCTGGGATGACCTGGAATAACACAAGGAGAGATTTTATAACAGCATATCAACATCTCAGCTGAGCCCTCAGCCTAGACTCACACACATTTCCTTTATCGGCAGTTGTCACCAGACGCTTTATTTCCCAGAATGGCGGACAGTCTTCCCACAGAGTTCGATGTGGTCATAATAGGGACAGGTCTGCCCGAATCCATCCTTGCAGCTGCGTGTTCAAGAAGTGGCCAGAGGGTTCTGCATCTTGATTCAAGAAGTTACTATGGAGGAAACTGGGCAAGTTTCAGCTTTTCGGGATTGCTCTCCTGGTTGAAGGAGTATCAGCAAAACAGTGACATTGTGGAAGAAAGTACTGCCTCATGGCAAGGCCTGATCCATGAAACAGAAGAAGCTATCACTCTTCGCAAGAAGGACGAAAGTATTCAACACACAGAAGTTTTTTGTTATGCCAGTCAGGATATGGATGACAATATTGAAGAGACTGATGCTCTGCAGAAAAATACTTCCTCAGTAACATCTAGTACCACCACTAAACCTCTGGATTCTGCATGCTTGTCTGAAGAAACACATTCATTATATGCTACTGACCATGAATTGCCTGCCAAAGGCACTCCAAAAAGTGATGGAGAAATTTCACTAGAAGTAACTGATGTTGAGGACACCTTGGCAAAAGAAAAATATTGTGGAGATAAAACTTGTATACACACAGTTTCAGATGGAGATAAAGATGAAAACAAGCCTATAGAGGAAGACAACACTGACCAACCAAAGAGAAATAAGATTACTTACTCTCAAATAGTTAAAGAAAGCAGGAGGTTTAATATTGATTTGGTATCAAAGCTGCTGTATTCTCAAGGATTGCTAATTGATCTCCTAATCAAATCAAATGTTAGTCGTTATGCAGAATTTAAAAATGTCACTAGGATTCTTGCATTTCGTGAAGGAAAAGTAGAACAGGTGCCTTGTTCCAGAGCAGATGTCTTTAATAGCAAAGAACTCACTATGGTTGAAAAGAGGATACTGATGAAATTTCTTACATTTTGTTTAGACTATGAACAACATCCTGATCAATACCAGGCTTTTGTGCAATGCTCATTTTCAGAGTACTTACAAACTAAAAAATTAACCCCCAATCTCCAGCATTTTGTGCTGCACTCAATTGCAATGACAGAATCATCTTGCAGTACAATAGATGGCCTTAAAGCAACTAAAAACTTCCTTCGGTGTCTTGGACGGTTTGGCAACACTCCCTTTTTATTTCCCTTGTATGGGCAAGGAGAAATTCCCCAGTGTTTCTGCAGGATGTGTGCAGTTTTTGGTGGAATCTATTGTCTTCGTCATAAAGTTCAATGCCTTGTAGTTGACAAAGAATCTGGAAGATGTAAAGCAATTATAGATCACTTAGGTCAAAGAATAAATGCTAAATATTTTATTGTGGAGGATAGTTACCTTTCTGAGGAAACATGCTCAAATATACAGTATAAGCAGATCTCCAGGGCAGTGCTCATTACAGATCAGTCTATACTAAAGGCAGATTCAGATCAGCAAATTTCCATTTTGGTAGTGCCTCCAGTGGAATCAGGAACATGTGCTGTTCGTGTCACTGAATTATGTTCTTCAACCATGACGTGCATGAAAGACACCTATCTGGTACATCTGACCTGTTCATCTTCTAAAACAGCACGAGAAGACTTAGAGTTAGTAGTGAAGAAATTATTCACCCCATTTACTGAAACAGAAATAGACAAGGAAGAACTTACAAAGCCAAGACTCTTGTGGGCTCTTTATTTTAATATGAGAGATTCCTCGGGAATCAGCAGAAGCTCATATAATGGCTTACCTTCCAATGTTTATGTCTGCTCTGGGCCTGACTGTGGACTGGGAAATGAGCATGCAGTCAAGCAAGCTGAAACGCTTTTCCAGGAGATCTTTCCCAATGAAGAATTCTGCCCCCCACCTCCGAATCCAGAAGACATTATCTTTGATGGTGATGATAAACAACCAGAGGCTCCTGGAACCAATAATATAATCATGGCCAAACTGGACTCCTCTGACGAAGTAAAAACCTAGAAAGCCCAGGGAAGCACCTTCAAAACTAGAAAAAAGCAAACTGGAAATGCTACTTTGGGCGTGCATCCTGGCATCAGAATATTTTCATTTAAAGGACCATTTCCTATATGATTAATTAGAACTTGTTATATGATAAATGCTATGCAGATGTTGTCTTTAATTCTGTTTGAGACATTCAGTCATTGGATGTCGTTGTTAATCTATCAGTAACTGATTGATTATTGGATAAGGTTAGTTTTATTTTAGTATTGAGTGTATTAGTGAGGGTTCTATATTAGCAACTGTGCTTAAAGGGATGTAATATGTGTCTGCTAATGACCTTCAGATTTTATTAGTCTATAATAATAATATCTAAGGAATATTTTATTTACTTTTGCAATTATTTTAGTTGCTACTGCCTCTGAATAATTAAACACATACAGTAAATTATGTGGGTCTTTTGTATATAATATAAATGTACAGACACAGTGGTAGCAATAGCAACTTATGCAAGTGCCAACTGTTAAAAGATTAGCTTTGGATGATCCTTTATTTGTGAAGGTCTAGTGTTTACAACACATTGTGCAGTTCAGTTCCCCTACTTGACCCTTGTAACCGGTGAGGCAGTGACACCACCACAATCTTCTGTATTACAGAAAGTGGTGGATTGTTCATCTGGTCACTGAAGAGGTCATTCTTGGGAAATTTGACCCAAAGGAAATCTAGGGGTCAGATTAGTTCTGGTTTAATACTTCAGAAAATTTCTGCAGAGCCCTGTGCTGGCACCTAAAAGAAAACTTCCAACAACTAACTCAGGCCAAAAGAAAAAAAATATATTGCCCCAGGAAAAGGTACTGCAGATTGGCTGTTTTGAAATTCCTAAGAAGAGATGGAGTGAGGCATTTCTAACCTGGGATACTGGTGGTTTTTCAAAGCCATCCATAGATTTCCCGAGGTTTCTTCATGAGGGTGAGATCTACCACCTTGTTGGCACTACCACTTTAATTAGCAGCACTGACTATGACAGATAGGAGTGAATGGAAGGAGGGTTTCACCAAGTCTCCCTTGAGTCTCACCTCGCAGTTAGTGAGATGACTGCCTCCATGATCACTTCTGCCTTTCAACTGTTATCTAGAGAACAGAAACATTTTTTTCTAGAGCCATCAGAAGTCAAAACTGTTGTATTCCAGTAGTGAAAACCTGTGGGGTTGTCAGAAGAGGTAAACTGCCTCCCCCTTCAGTCTCCTGTTTCCATTCCTCTGAATGGTACTCCTATAGGAAGAGAGCCCTCCAGAGCCAATTTTCATTCTGGAATGGAGCATTTACTTATGTGCTAGGCACCTGTGCTTTCTAGTTACAGTTTCTCAACACCCTGTGAGGCTGATAGTATTGAATACGTTTTTAAAGAAGAGGCAAAGAGGTAAAGACAATTATTAATAATTTGCCCAGGGTCTGGTATGTGGAAGAGCCAATGTTGGAATCCAGGCTGTCAGGATTTTGAAGTCTCTGATAACATTAACTGTTAGAGGAGTGCAGGCGCTGCAGGAGGAGAAGACGCTCATGAAAGTCCATGTAGCATTTCGGGGGAAGCAGAGCAGACAGACTCCAGTCTCTCAGCTTATACTCAGATCAGGGAAATGTGAAGATAAGGATTAATTAGAAATAAATATAGTTTAGAGCTAAGGAGCTCATGGAAGCAGAATTTGGCTAAGTTTTAACAAAGTAATGCTTTTTAATAATGTTTCTTTTGATCTGAACGTGTTATAAAAATATGCAGATGTTACTAGGCCAAAATAAGTTGTGAATAGTCTTTTGTTGCTCTTCTGTATGTGAGGAAAATGAAACAAAGACTTAAGTAATTTACAGCTTACTGAAAATAGAAGTCATGAATTGGTATTAATATTTATGCATTTTTTTAATATGGCAAAGTGGTTCTATTAGGTATATCCTAAGGTTTAAACGTATCAAAATAATTTCACAATCTATAAAACAGAGATAATACTTTGCAGAATTATTGTGAAGATTAAGTTAGATAATGTCTTTGAAATCATATCCAAAGGAATGCCACTAGATGACATTAATATGTAGATTTATTACACTTCCACTTAACATTCCAACTGATACTTTATATAATTTGACAGAATTGTGGCAAATTAGGAAAATAGGCAAGGAAAGATAGATTTATCTTTTTAACTTAGGGAAAAAGAAATGAGAGCCTTGCCCTTTAAATCCTAAATTAACCTTTCTAAATATACTATGATGCTGAGTAGGAAGTTTAACTGAGACTTAATAAACCAGTTGGAAAGATATAATTATGTAATAACTACTGGTGGAAAGATTAATTGGATGTCAGTGTGAAAAAAAGAATTAGGCCCACTTTACACATGGTAAGACCATTCATTCCGTATGAATTAAAATGTTGATTATAAAGGTAAAAATAAAAAGACTACAATTCTCATCCCAGTAGTACAAAAGAAACTTTATGGCAGTGGAAATATCATTGGCAGCGTAGGTGAGATCAACTAAAGAAAGATGAAAAATGTACACTAAATAGGAAGAAGACAAAAGAGATTGGAGGGGCGCCTGGGTGGCTCAGTTGGTTAAGCGACTGCCTTCGGCTCAGGTCATGATCCTGGAGTCCCGGGATCGAGTCCCGCATCAGGCTCTCTGCTCGGCAGGGAGTCTGCTTCTCCCTCTGACCCTCCTCCCTCTCATGCTCTCTGTCTCTCATTCTCTCTCTCAAATAAATAAATAAAATCTTTAAAAAAAAAAAAAAAGAGATTGGATTACTCATGGATAAAGTGCTTAATATTTTTTTAAAAGTAGATGTAAAACCAAGTTTCTACTCTTTACTAAGTAAATTTATGAAAGGATAGAGTACAAATGAGAAGGTTCAAGTAAAAGTCAATTCTTGGAATGATATTCAGGTTTCCTACTATTAAAAATGCAAATTGAAACAACTTTGACCTGGTTTATGCTATTATATTAGCAAAACATTTTAAAATTCATGTGTCTTCATACCAGTAGCATATATTAGTAATTTTTAAAAGAACTATTTAGATGAATATAACAAAAGCTCTGTAACCAATCTATTTTTGGCTAGATCAAGGCACTTTGAACAGCATATGCCCAGGAAAATATTTAAAAGAAAAATAAGCTACTTGTACAAGATAGTTCTAGCAATTCTATTCTTACACGTTTTAAAAAAAAGCCCAGTTTTGGGAAATGGATAAGTAAATTTTGATATATTGGTATTGCTATTGTAGACCGTTACATAGTCATTAAATGATATATGTAAAATTGTATGAAAAATGTTAAATGAGATTCAAAAGTGTTAAAACATTATTTTATGTACTGATTATACTTGTGTAAAAGTTTAGGTGTCTACATTGAAAAGAATCAGAAGAAAACATGTAATTAATTGGAGTTTAACATTAAGGGGTTCTTTTTTTCTGTAAAATGTTGATGTGTATGATACAAATAAAAAAATAATTGGTAAAGTGGTTACTGAATTGGTGAGAAAGTTACTGATTTTTTGGGAAACTTATAAAATTCTTCAAATTAAAAAAAATGCATTTTTTTTTTATTTTAATGTCAAAAGGTAATCTCCAAAAACATAGACAGAAAGTTTTACAACTCTTGTTGGAACGGACTTACTGGTTAAGATGGATTTTGTATCTTGTATCTTTCCTCAGTTGCTCAGAATTAAGAAATAAGGTATATTGTGGCAACACTTTTTTAAAACATGGAAACCCCAGAGGCAGAGGTGGAAATAATAGAAATAATATTAAAGCATCCTAGGACATCTGTATGAAGACATTACATACTAATTAAAAAGTGTGGCCCCAAATCCAAGGATACACTCTTCATTTGGGAGTCTTGGAGGCCAGGGAAATGAAGGAGGATTTGGATTCATAGACATGGCCAAGCCTCTGTCTGAGGAATGTTCTCAGGGAGACCACCTAAGGACAGATCTCAGGGCACTGAGGATGCTAGGAGACCCTTTCTTCCTGTCAGCCTGACTGATCCAAAGCAAGCTGATTGAATACAACAAACATTAGTTGAACGTCAACTGTGGGTTATGAATTAACATTCTAAGAATTCAAAATAGAAAAATGAGTAAGTTCTGTACCAGAGAACCTTTCTGTTGGAGAATATACCTTTTTACCTTAATGAGAATATAAAACGTTTTCTATCCATCATACTCCCCACTATAACTACTACCAGCCTGTCCCGCCCCACCCCCCCAACAAAGAAAAAGAAACAGGGAAATCTGGTTTGAGATGCACAGCCTTCCTTTAAAGGGAGTACAAACATTTTACTACAGTTGGAAACAAGTAGCTTAAGAGTTAAAAGGTCAGTTAAGTCTATTTTAGCTACCACTCAGCTAATTAAGTTTCTCACATTAATCAGAAGTTTTTTGTGTTGCTTGGGGGGAAACATGAAGAGAAAGTACAAGAGATGGGGTCCCAGGGACCCAGGGCGCTGAGAGCTCAGGGATTCAGGAGTGTAAATATACCAAAACGATGAAGCAGATCATAAAGCTCCAAGGCCAAGAAGTTCTGATTAGGATGAGTTGTATTTCCTTCCTCCTGGCAGCACAAGTGGGAGTCATGCTCTCACTGCATGGAGGTGGTCGCCTCCTCTTTGAAGATTTTTAAATTTTTACTTCAGTATCTTTACCTTCATTATTAAGAGGCATTGTTTCTAGTGTGGTTCTTAATTCTTTTAACCAACAACCTAATGTATTCACATTTCAACAGAAGGGGACACAATACAGCCAGCTCTCTGTAAGGCATGAACAAAGAAGCTGCCAGAGCTGGAAGAATTGGACTCTAACATGCATATTAGGAGAGCAGTCCTGCTGCAGCACTGGTAGGAACACTGCCTTTTCTCTTGACAACTACATTTTCTTTCATGAACCTCAGGACAACTATGTCAGGTAAGAAAGGGCGGGTATTTATACCCGTTTCCCAGATAAGACCTGGAGGAATTGCGGGGCTGACGTGGATGCACCCCTAATGAGTGCCAAGATCATTCATGAGAATTGCAGCATAACTGTGCCAGGCTGCCTCCAGGTTGGCACAGCTGCGTGTTGCATGTAAGAGTGTGTAACAGAAACCACTGCTGGAAAAGTGGCTCCTAGAATTTTAGAGGACATTTGTTTTTCAACAAGTAGCAAAAAATCTTCCTATCAATTAAGATCTGTGTGACTAAAGTGGGACGATGGGTTGGGAGAGGGCGAAGGAAGTTGATGACTTAAGGTCATACCCGAAATCAAAGCAGACAGTTTCATTACCCCAGTATTTATTCTGAGAGCTTCATTTCTTGATATGCAGTGTCTATTAGTTCCTGCTGTTGTCCTAGGATTTTGGCATTTTCTTGTTGCTAAATATGTATTTAACCCTAACACCCTCTGAACGATGAGTATGAATAAAGGCATGTCTGTCATTGGAGGAAACAGTGAGTGGCTTCAGAAGTGCAGGGTTGACAAAGTATAATAGGAAGGTAAATACCTGTTTGTAGTTTGGTGCCTAATCTTTAGGTGTGTTCTAGTTTTAAAGAAATAAGGGTCCTTGCAGACATTCATGCCATGGGGTTTATACCAGTTCCTTTTATTACTTATCACATGATTAAAGTCCTTGGAGCACCCATGTCTGTTTGAGATTTTTAAAATTTTTTAAAGATTTTATTTATTTGACAGAGGAAGAGAGAGAGCACAAGCAGTGGGGAGAGGTAGAGGGAGAAGCAGGCTCCCCGCTGATCAGGGAGCCAGAGGTGGGACTCGATCCCAGGACCCCGAGATCATGACCTGAGCCAAAGGCAGACGCTTAGCCACGTGAGCCACCCAGGTGCCCCTGTTAGAGACTTTTATTTGTTCTTTTATTTATTCCTCCCCCATACTTAAAAATAACAGAAATATTACTAATGAAGTATAGGGAATATTTTTTTGCATCAATATAAGTTAATTTCATCATTATGTGTAAGTTTAAAGTTTTTATCCCAATTTCAGCATTGCTATTGCCCATTGTAAAGAAGAAATTTGGGGGAATGTCCTGCTGGGGAAGACCAGGGAATCTTGTCTTTAGGCAATTAATATAACTATTAATTTCCTAAAATGACTTCAGTGAAGTATTATGGAGAAATGAGCTGTATGTCCATCTCTTCCTTTAACAGTCCCACTTTATGACTGCATACCGTTTTTTATCATGGCCTCTGTTGTTGAGACAAATACCAACTAGGTGTTTATTAAAAGGAAAATGCAACAGATGAGAACTGCACTAGAAGTCATTTGTCATGAGATTATAATTTCCTTTAAAATAAAGTCTGAGTGTGCTGTAACTCTACACCCTCTATAGTATCTTGTACTTCACAGGCCACCAAACCCAGATTTGCTGCACCCTTCTTTCCATGTCACCCCTTTACCTTCATCACCCCATTCCAGACAGAGGACCACTGGGGCCAAGCTCTGGGAAAATATATCAGAACCATGGTCCCGGGTCTTTTTGTTAGTAGCATAGATAATTAGTTTTATGATAAGTCTATGTGAATCAACAAAAATACTGAAAAATAGGGAACATTTAAAATCCATAAGATGTTCCACCTCATACTTCAGCTAATTTTCTCCCATCAAGGCAGTTATTCTCAAACCAGGGTGATTTTGTCCATTTGGCAATGTCTGGAGACATTTTTGGTTGTCAAACTCAAAATTAGCAAGGGGGTGCTACCAGCATCTAGTGGGTAGAGGACAGAGATGCTGCTAAACACCCTACAATTTACAAGACAGCCTCCTCCCCCAAGAAAGAATTATCCAGCCCCAAATATCAGTGGTGCCAAGGTTGAAAACTCTTCATTCAAGTTTTGAGTATTTATAATGAATTTGTTTTCCTTTCTTTTACCTTTTTTCCCCAACATCTTCTGACTGTAAGTGCTTCTTCAATAGGGTCATCATTGGTAGGAACTGCTGTCTTGCTGCCCCCCCACATGCCCCCTAATGCCCCTGTCCACCTCCCTCAATAGTCAACAGTTGCTTCCTTCTGAAGGAATATAACTCAAACTCCAAAACAGACTTCAGAGAATTAGGGAATATATCTCATCCTCCCCCACTTTTCAGGATAGATTAGAGATTTTGTTGGTTCAAAAAAAAAACCTCATTAATCCAGAAATAGAATAATTCTGCAAAACATAGAAATGAGAGGATGATATCTTTTTTAGTGTTTTTTTATAATACTTCCTTGTTACCTTTTTAGATGATATCTTTGTATATATTGCAAACAACTATCTCAAAATCAATGTAAATGTATTTTAATATACTTTTTTTTTTTTTGAAGGAGTGCTTTTCACTTGACAGGCTATAGGCAAATGAATCAAATTACATGTATATAATAATATCCTCTGAGTTTTGGAGAATCCAATCCAAGACTAAATAAACCACCCATAATTGAATTGTACCTGCATTTTCACTCACTGATAGTTCACCAAGCAATGAGAAAGTGTAGCAGCTTGACAATAAACAGGGATTATCTATAGACAATACCTAAATTGTAATGGAATGGGTCAG